TAGGATTGTGAATGCTGGACCACACACTAGGATGATGGATGGTTAGCTATGACCGCCAAGGAACCGGCCCTCATATCCGAAACTCTGATCTCCTTTCGAATGACAGTTCAAGCTTGCTTCAGAAATGTCGCAAGGATAGCTCGGATCATCTAAAAAGCCAAAAAGGTTGAACTCCAATTCAACAGTCCTACTATCCAATCTAACAGGCGATAGTAGGACTGTTGAATTGGAGTTCAACCTTTTTGGCTTTTTAGATTATCCGAGCTATCATTGCATGCCACCTCGAAGTGTGTTTATGGATTCATTTGCGCTTGTGGATGCAAGTACACTGGACGAACGCAAGGGAAACTGCCAACCAGGTCAGTTGGGCACCTGCGTAAATGGCTTTTAAAAGAGGAAATATAATCTCTCGTTCTTCTACAACAAAACACCTTCTACAGCGCGGTCACTCTGTGACCCAAAAACAGCCTTCGCAGTAGGTATTTCGGCACGAACATCTCAGCGGTTACGTTTCATAGCAACAGGTTAAATACTTGCCTTGATAGCCGCCAAGCTGTGGACTTGCACTTTTCTTCACGTATTAATTTTACCCTCTTTTTACTTCCAAAATTGCATTTTAAATTTACGATCATAATTTATTAGTCTGTGCACAGTGAACCGTGGCCCTTCTGTTTTGCATTGCTTTTCTGCACCAAGTCAACATGCTACATGCTCATTGTTCGTTATCTATGCTACGATGGGGTGCGTGAAAGAAAAACGAGACTTACGGGTTGTCCCTAAATTCTTTGTACCCTAATAACACAGTCATAGTTTCTAAAGTCATATACATCTCACAATTTACCCAAAAGGAAATTTTCCTTTGACCTTCAGGACAACTTATATCCTGCTTGGCATCTAATGAATAATGTTCTGTGGGGGTCTTCAACGGGATCATTCTCTAGGAGTCCAGCGAGGATCTCTCCAACCCAGCAACAGTAGTAGGAGCAGACAGTTTCGCGTCAACCATATTACTAAGACTTGACTATAGATTGTCAATTGGATTCAAGTCAGGACTACTTGCTAGCCACATGTCTTTCCTCCACAAACGTGGAATTTTCTCTGGCAGTTACCTCTGGGTCTCTAGAGCTGTGTGAGCTGTGGCCCCATCCTGCATAAAATGTATCCTTGACATTTCACATTTTGACCCGCTCACAAAAAAACTTTTCCGATCTTTTAAACAGGTTTTGCTTTAGGATTTCCTCTATATAATATTGACCATTTACTCGTTGATCCCGTGGTACAGAGTGTAGATCAGAGAGTCCTCCAAATACATTGCTCCCCACACCATGACTGTAGGTCTAAAATTGGAACTTCAAAATTCTCAACCATGTTACGACTTGGAGCCCAAAAAACGTCATTTGTTGTGTTTGGCGAATGTAACAGTCCATATGGCGATTCATCGGAGGAGACGATTTGTTTTCACTCGTTTACAGTCCACCTCCTGACCACCTTACAGAAGTTCGTTTCATCTTTGATGTGTTTTTTTTATTAGTCTGTGGATTTTTCTTCTGTGATGGGCGGTAACACGCAAACTTTTATGCAAATAGCGCTGCACACTGGAGGTAGAACCCTTCGGGCCATTAGCATTCAGTTTCTTCGCTAGTTTCCTTGTGTTTTGCCTTGATTTACCAATGGCTTTTGCAAAAACGATCTTTTCAACTCTTGCCAAAATATTTGTCCTCCAGAATTCTTCTGCCTTGTGAGGGTACCTGTTCGCTTGTACTGTGACCACGAATACTTGACCGTCCTGATAGGTATGCCTACAGCTTTAGCAACCCCCGCCTCCATCATCCCTATGGCTCGAGCTCGGTCCTCTGAGCTTCGCGCCATCAGAATCACAGACACTTTTTTACTGGTTTATAATTCCTATATCTATACTGCTGAACTGTACAGTAAACAGTGTACAAAACACTGTGTAGAAAGTTTATTTACAAATAAATCAGCAACCAATGCGATTGAGCAATACATAGGTATTATCGCAGAATATTTAATTATAAAGAACTTATCGAACTTTTAAAAGGTGCAAATAGTTTTGGGACACCCAACATTTTAAATGGTTTATCGAAGATAATATCTTAAAAGCATTAATCCTCCTCAAAATACTGCCCGCTAGATGACATGCA